TAGTTAATGAAACTTGGACTATATCAAGTCTCCCCAATCATGTGAGTAGAATTTCAGGTCACTAAATTAAGGTAAAAGGTCATTTAAGGTCAACAAACTTAGACTTTGTTGTGGCATCAACATCAAGATTTTCAAAATGCTTCTTCTTCGTTATTTTTCATTCGATTTTGATTCTGATTGTTTCATATGATAGGGTAGGAGGGGGATTTAAAATTTCTACACAGAATCGTGAAATACATTATCTATGCTAATTTATGCAAACTTATTTGAAATCACAAAAAAGGCTTCTTCTCCTTCATTTCTCGACCGATTTTGATTTGGTTTGCTTTATATCGTAGAGCTAACTTTGGTACACTAAACTTCTACACAGAATTGTGAGATTTTGCTCCATTGATTATTTATGGTACTTTATGCAAATGAAATGAAATTATGTCCCTTCCAGGGCATCAAATTTTTATTTTTTGACCAGTTCAAAAGTGTACCACATAAAATTTATGATATTTGTTGGTTATCATTCTGGTTTATCTTATATTGAATTGCGTTATGCAGGCGAGACCGCCGAGAGCGTTTCCCTTGTTAGAATAATACATGCATGTCATGGGTTAGGACAAAATATGCGAAAGCTTATTTTCAATTGTGCCCATTCATGTACTGCCCCTTTTCTTACCCTGTTTTCAGATCGTGCTGGTCTCCGTATGAAGACCGAGCTTGATCCCCAGTCAGAGCTCATCATGGAATGTCTACGACGGGAGCTGAGCCGTAAGGACCCTCGAGACACCAGACGTTTCTTCCACCTAGTTACGAAGATGCAGCTGCTGCGTTCAACCTCCATGCTCCAGGCTGAGTCATTGCTTGGGTTCCGTCTAGAACATGACTCCATCCCAGTCCCTCCTCTCCTGGTTGAACTCAATGACTCTATAGGGGATCCACCTAAACCAGACGTACATGATCTATGTAGTGGGATCTTCAATGATTCAAATGGAAATGTGTAAGGCTCTACTCACACACACACTTTGCCTCTTTCAATCTGTCTTCTCTACTTCTTTCCACCTCCTGCCATTTTCAGAGATTCAACTGCAAATGTTTAACCTGCTACTAATTTTCCTCTTGCTACTTTCAACCTGTCCTTCTTTTTACTCTGTATTTTATGAAAGGATAGTCACACAAGTATAGAGTGGCATCATGAATGGGTGCAATGGTAATGTGTAAGGCTCTGCTTAATTTGATCTTGCCATATTCGATCCATGTTTTTGTTTACTCAATAATCTTCTTCTTCTTGATGTACACAAACAGACATGTATGCAGTGTTATCCTGAGCATTTAGAACAGAAAGGGCTTTCTTACTTTGTCTTGCTGTCATTCATTATCTGACATGATAAACTGCTTCTCTGGATGTCTTTATCCCTCAAAAAAATTATACCTGATTTTCAGAGAAAAAACATATTAATTGCATCTTGAAATTTTCCTTCATTTCTATCTCCTTTAAAAAAAGAACAGCCCTCTAAAGATTCCCTTTTCCCTGCTTATTTCTCAAACAGAAATAAAAGATGTCAAGACATTTGGGAAAAGCTTCCTCTTCCAAAGCTCATCAAAGGGGGCGGGCTTTTCCATCCTCCGAAGTCCGTGTGTGGGGTTCGTACCAACATCATGCCCTCCACACCTAAAGAGGAACAAGGTGAAAGGTCAAGCTGTGCGGCATCCAATGGTTTCAATCAAGATTACTGAACCTCACTCTCTGGGGATCCATGTGACATTCATTGCACACAACAAACGGGTATTTCCCTTGTATTTTCAGAAGTTAAGGGCAAAAGGAGGATTATGTCATCTTGTTTTGTATACTTCATGAAAATCACTTCTTATTTTTGTAACGCACATTATACATTAGAATTGGTCAGAATATTGCATGAATTATATAGTGGTCTTGTTTAGAAATACTAGTCATGTTACATCCAGCAAATGCTGTGTGTTGGTAATCAGCTTATTTTCTCACACCTCAATGATTACAATTGTTGAGATGCTATCAAGGAGGTATGCAGATTGACCTGTAATGCCAGTAGGTATTGAGAAAAACCCATTTAATGAATTGGTGTAGATACAGTCATAAAAGTACTTCATGATTTGAGAAGAATTCTACTTTAGTTAAAGTCTACAGCAAGGCTAAAGCAAGGAAGTCATCTATAGAACCTGTAGAAGGCATGTACAAAATACCAATGATAAAACTTATATGGGCTTTAGAATCTGGTTGTACTTCGATGAATATAGTCTCCAATGATTGACTCTTGTAGGTTTTGTAATGATATTGCTTGTACATGTTTCAAAATACATTCCAATACCCCCTCCTTGTTTATTAACACAACTATTAATAGCAATTTTGTAATTCTCCAAATGATAAAGGAATAAATATTTACTTGATTTAAATCAGGGCCCGTCTTATAAAGAGTTGTGATTGATCCAAATCAATTGCAAGTCCTCTAATCAATCGCAAGTTTGCATTCTCCTAGCTCTTATCTGACATAGCTGCGATCGATATCAATCACAAATAAATTGCAATTAATCGCAACTGTTTATAAGACGGGGCCCAAGTCTCAGTTAGACCAATAATTGACAAATTGAAGTCAGTGGTGTTGATGAATACTGATAGAAATGATTATTGACATGATGTACATGACAAAGCCTTTCAACCATTGTGTGAAAGATGTGACAGAGGGTAGATTCAAACCAAGATAGACAGGACAGAGATGCCATAACTGTTCATCTCAACAAGATTTTACTCATTTCTTGAGCAAATTGTTGTGAAGGTTATTACCTTAACAACCATGAATAGTCCCCAGGTTGTGGAGAGTGTGTAAAATGGCGCTTGATTCCAATGAATGGGATGATGATACACTCTAATGCACTTTGATCAGTCACTTTTATATTGAAAAGTGTAGTATACAGATTTGTTGAATAGATTAGACATGGCTTTTAGCACTATGCTTGGGAAGAATCCTATTTGGTAGTGAATTTGATTCAGAAATTAAAGCTACAAAACTAGCCAATATTTGTGTAGACCTTTATTATTATAACCTGCCTATATTGATTATGTACATTTACCTGAAATATTTGTTGTTTGCCATCACTTTTTCTTCACCTTTGTTCAATTATTTAGTGGGAAAAACTGTTTCACAGCAGTCTAAATATAGGCAATTGTGAATGTATTTTTGAATATGGAATGCAAATTTACACTTTCTCTTGTTATTTCTGTTTATCTTGTGTGCAAGTTTAATGTTAAAATGCCTGGGTAAAGGTATTATTTTACTGTAATTGACTTCTAGAACTAGATGATCTTTTTTCCTTTCTTTCGAGAAGGTAAAACCTTAAGGATTGGCTTTGATATAGAGCTAGGTACCTGTAGCTCTTGTGTTTTCTTTTGAATTACAATATATCTTGTTTTAGAATAGTTGTCTTCAGAATGATTGGGATTTCTGGTAAACATAATGGAAGTAATCATCTATTTTTAGGAGGTAGATAGTTGGTGCATACAGGTACTTACATGTATGAACATTCATTTTGCAGGAAGGGCATTCAAAATCATTCTACTGCATTAGCATTTCATGAAATGCATCAATATCTGAACAGAAAACACAGTCAAGATTATTAGCGAATTTGAATTCATGCCTATGCCAGTACTCTGAGAATGAAAATGTTTAAATGAAAAAAAGCATGATAATCTTGATTAGCAATGGGCATTTGGATTGCATTTTTATATAATTTATATGTATATTCATACAGGTTCATTCGATACGTTCATCTTATCTAGTTAAGAATGTAAGAATGAATTAAAAATATAATAGTTGCACATTGAAAGACCCTATCAGGGATTTACAAGCCCTCAAAAGCTGACATATAGATGCACTGCATGTATATGTAAAATCATATTTGAAATATATATAAATGAATCGTTTATCTTTAATGAACTGAAATTAAAAGTGACAACTCATGGTACACTGTAGTCCAGTATACAATTAAGAAAAATTACATGAGATCTGAAATATATACATGTACCTTTATCTCTTAAAAATTTAATCTAATGAGCTGAAACCAATACTATATATAGTATAGTATATATAATAATTCTATTCTATTTCATGATTATAAATTGGTCTTCAATGAACCATACATTCGTTTATTTTTATGGGTACATATATAGTATATTTATGCTCCTTGAATAATTGGGTCTGCAAGCAATATTGTTACCTTGACTTGTGTAGCAATGAGCAATCGGGCGGGCTTGCCTGAATGGCTGAGAGCTCATAGCTTCTTATTCTACAATACCAGTAATAGCTCAATGCTTCTGTGCACATCATGCATTCATACATACATATACATGTATACGTTTAAAGGTACTATGTCCCATTTGCAGGCCAAAAAAATGAAAAAGTTAAATTCCAACTGCATTTGAAAGATAATACTAATTTAGAACTTCCCTAAAAAAGGTGGGGCTTGAAAATGTCTTCAAGTGGGAAAATAACGACTATTAGTTGCCAAATCGACTTTAGGGCTATAGAGCCCAAAAGTAATAGTCTTGATTTTCAGACAATAGTACCGAATGGTCATACGTTTTATGCTGCGCAAAGATTCAATCAGTTTAATCTTGGCCATCACAAGAAGTGGGTTATTGATGTAGACAAATGCTCATGTACCCTTTGCAACTCTTTTCATGTATGTTATTACCAAAGAAGAAAAAAGCCAGTCAGTCACTCAATAGTGTCTGACAGTGAAGTCTAGCAAGTAAACAGGTTTTCTTGCATAATTTGAATATGAGGACACTGCTAACGTTTTAATTTCACAGAATAGGACATACATGACGTATTCATGATTCCTGCAAAGTTCTACAGAATTTGAGGTTGGCTGCAAAAGGGACATAGTACCTTTAAGTATAATAATCACCAGAACATGTTTGCTCTTAGTGTACTAAAGGCTTCCCGTGTTGCTATATTGTCTTCAAATTATGAGCTTGGAAAATTGCATCTACAACTCTCGTTTAACCTCTCATAAGAACAACTTGTTGAGTAGACACGTCAAAGCATGTGTATGCACTTGCATAGCATGAATTCCATCTTGTATGTTAATGACATCCTTCATATTTTTGATATTCCTTATAAGTTAACCTGTAAAATGCCATGTAAATTCTTTTACTTTTAGGTTGATTTTATACATGCTACATTCTAGCTATCATAAGTTATTTTTCCAGATGATTGGTTCACTCTTCCATGTATTTTGCCTCTATTGGCAGGGAGGTGGGGCAGTAGAAGGAGCCATATACACCTCTATTGGCAGGGAGGTGGGGCAGTAGAGGGAGCCATATACACCTCTTTTGGCAGGGAGGTGGGGCAGTAGAGGGAGCCATATACACCTCTATTGGCAGGGAGGTGGGGCAGTAGAGGGAGCCATATACACCTCTATTGGCAGGGAGGTGGGGCAGTAGAAGGAGCCATATACACCTCTATTGGCAGGGAGGTGGGGCAGTAGAGGGAGCCATATACACCTCTATTGGCAGGGAGGTGGGGCAGTAGAGGGAGCCATATACACCTCTATTGGCAGGGAGGTGGGGCAGTAGAAGGAGCCATATACACCTCTATTGGCAGGGAGGTGGGGCAGTAGAGGGAGCCATATACACCTCTTTTGGCAGGGAGGTGGGGCAGTAGAGGGAGCCATATACACCTCTATTGGCAGGGAGGTGGGGCAGTAGAGGGAGCCATATACACCTCAATTATTGTACAATTTTACATTAAAAAAAAATGTTTTGAGTAGTTCAGATTATGTGACATGATTTAATTGTATTGCATGAAAGCTTGTTGCTATGAGGACTGCCATTGTTTAAGCTTCTATATTAATGACATGATAGTTTGATGTTTGTAAGTTTACTGCATGTGTTGTATTCTTGTCATGATTCCCATACTTAAAACAGGGTATTCTTTGATAGTACGTGCCTTGGTTTGGTTTACTGAGTGAAATGGGATTTGTTGATGAATAAAGGGTCATTTTAAGTGGAACCAGTACTTTAGCATGTGTGTTGTTTAGAGCCCCCACCCATCCCCTTTATCAATAGTTGTCTGTAAAGACAGGCCAATGCTGTTATATAAGAATCATTGTGCTAATGTTTGAAATTCACATGGTAAGACTCAGTTAAAGGATACTTTACTTTAACCCCCCCCCCCCCCCCCCTCTTTCTCTCTGGGAGAAAAGTACATCTTACATCTTACTCATTTAATTATTGAGAAGCAGTGAGTACTTTCGATCCCAGTGAAGGCGCAGTGCTCATAAATAAAAGTGTTAAAATATTACAACATTCATTTAAATTGTGGTTTTAAAAAAATGGTACATTCCACAATATTATGGATTGAATTAAGTACTGGTTCTTGACAGTTATATCATTACATGCATTGGTGTTAAAGATGCAAAGAAACTATTTTTGCTACTCTAGTTTTTAGAGACATATTGTCAAATAAACATACAATTTTTATCTTTAAAAGAAAAAGAAAAAGATTTTATGTTGCAAGACAGTGTTTAAATCAGATGTTTTATAACTCACCATTTTTATTGTACCAAGTAAGTGTACATTATGAGTTTGATACAAACGGGTAAAACATATTGTGGTCTATTTTCATGAAGCATGAGTTACTCTCAGTCTACATTTAGATGTAGACCAGGATGAATATTTGGAATATTGAAAATGTTTGTTTTGAAAATAAAACAGCAAATGAGTGTGAAGTAGGTTGCACTGTTCATATTGCCTGACTGTGTGCCAAGACATCTCTCAATGTCTATTCATTTTTTCAAAATATTATGCACAAAAGAGCTAAACATTTGTGCTTGGTGTGCTAAATTTGATGTCAAAACTGTTGTAAAATACAAGAGAGTTTATAACAGAATTTGAATGTACTGAAGGTCACAAAGGATGTTAAGTCATCAGATTTGATCAATCTGATAAGAAGTGAGTTTACTCTTACTTTAACATTTTGTTCAGTTGTGTACCTCTGTTCATAGTCAACTTAAAAAAAGATCTTGTAGAAATTCTGCAGATTTCTACAATAATTTGTTGTATGCAAAAAAGCAAGACAATGTATTTATCACTTTATTAATTTCCAAGCAGCACTCTGGTGGGCAGGGGTTCAGACAAAAGATGTAGACTGATGATGTGAGGGGGAGTTGTCTTTCAGAACAACTTAAAAGGGTTAATCTTCCATAGAAAACAACTTACCTGTATATTGCTGCCAGATTTTGCTTTGTACAAAATAGAAAATAATTAAAAAAATATGTGGAAGCAGAACAAGGCCTATGGGTACATTTGAATTTGAACTTGAATTTGAATTTATTACCAACAACACTTCACATTAATGACAGTACATTATATTATGAACAGTCGTACAATGCAAATAATAATACTGATACATGTATACATAACATAAGAGTAATGTTGATTGAACAGTAATGGTTTTAAAACAATATTTAGACAAAGCTCTGCATACTATTAAATGTACAAAAGACATACACATAAATATGTGTATTAATAATATTTAGGCAAAGTTGTTAATGGGAACTAGAAGTTAGCACAAATGCTAACGTCTAGTTCCCATTGAGAACTTCACCTAAATGTTAGTGAAGAAAAGATGTAAAAACCTTTCATGATAATAGAAAATTAGCAGCATGTTCAGCATTTACCTATCGTACATCCTTTTTTGTGTGAAGAACTGTAATATAAGTTTCTAAAAGGCACAAAAGATATAATGTACTTCTCTATCTTAATGGGGTTTTTTTTTTTTCATTTTATATTCCATCCAACAAGAAATGTACTCTACTCTTCTATCGTCCAGTGTCATAGACAATTAGCATGCATGCAATCAATTGTCATTTCCTTGTATTTCATTTCAACTAAATAATTATGATGTAATGTGATTGCATTATTTGTTACTGTATTCTCTATCTTGTTCCAGCTGTGTATATAGTCATGATTTTTGGCAGAAATATGAATTGTTACATTTTGTAAAGTGTGTTAATGCATAATCATCGCCAGTTTCTTTGGCAGTGGGTACTGTGGTGTAGTCCCATATGCTCAATATTCTGTGTGTCCATTTATTATTGTTGCAATTATTGTTACTCTTCTAGCCTCTTCTCGCTATGTTATATCAGAAGGTAAATTTGAGGGATGTTATGCGTTTGGAACCTGTGTATATGTGCATGTTGTTATCTCTTTAAAAGACAGTTGATATGACGTTTATTTTGTAGGGAGTGTTTTGTTTATGTGATTTTTATGAAATATTACCTGGCAACAATTGTTCTGCGGTCAATTTCTGACACCCGGCAAACCCTGGAACCCATCCAGAACCTGGCCTACTCCTAAGACTTGGCCTTTACCCTATATATTTGTTTTATAAAGGAAATAAAGCTTGAAGTAAATGTCTTTAAAGCTAATGTCTGGCTCTGCATGGAATTCGTAAGCGCAGGGGTATACATAAAATAATACCTGTGAATTTTCCTTTGAAATGATGGATGTACTCTTGTGCTATATATGTCTTTAGTATTGATAACATCTTGAAATGAATTCATAACCAATCATCATACTTATGCACAACAACTGCAATGCCTTCGGTTTGAGCTACTCAAGGCAGTAGTATTTTTGTAGACATGTCTGAAATAGGTGATAAACGTAGCATAGTGAGAGAGATAGTTATGACTAGTGCATACTATATGAGCGAGGTCATAGGTCAAATCATGGATCTCCAATTAGTTCCCTCCCACTTGCAATCTCTAGTGGAGGGAAGGAACTACATGTATTTCTTCCATGAAATGACTCACCAATCTTAAGCAATTTTTTGCCATCTCAACTCTGTGTAAATCAATTACCTCCGGTGATACCCATTCATCAAAGTAGTATGACATTTTGTAACAGAAGTAATATACATGAATTTAAATGGTGAGTTTAATACTGTTGTGTTTATACAATGTTTTCAGGATGGCTTGTAGCCTTCAATCACGCCAGCCTCTGCTGCCTCCCCTCTATGACTACGTTAAACATCCCTATGATAAAGAGAAGGACACTTATTAGGCCTGTCCTCATCAACTCGAGATTGCCAAATAACCCGCTATTTTACAGGGGCGAATCTAGCTTTTTGCTAAGGGGTGGGGGGGGGGGGGATTGTCCCAGCAAAATTTGAATATCGTGCTGACCAATATTTCGCTCGATGGGGGGGGGGGGTAGTGAGTACTCTTTTATTTTGCCCCCCAAATTTCAAAAAAGTGCCGACCAATATTTCTGGGGGAGGGGGGAAAGCACTCCAAAAAAAAAAAAAAAAAAAAAAATCATTTATCCAGCTAAAATTAGCGGAATATTTGGTCGAGATAATCATCCCAAGATATCTTGGGCTAGTTTGCAGAATATCCTGCTATGTGTCCGGTGCGTTTTCACCAGCCCGAATACTCGCACTATGCGCGAACGCTGAGCAAAATATTGAGCTGATGACGCCGCGATTTGTAACTTGGGGCTTATTTCCCAAATCAGATATAGCGGGCTATTTGGCAATCTCGAGCTGATGAAGCCAGGCCTAAAGTGCCGTCCGGAGTCACTAGGGTATTCAGCTCTTTGGTTAAGATAGGGGCAGTGCATGGAAGCCATGATCGAAGGCTAGCAGATTTGATGCAGGATGTAGTCGGGTTTTGATGTATTTTTCAAGGATTCAAGTAAAGCTCACAAGTACCTCTTCATTTCATCATGTTACTTTATATTTTTATTATGATTCTAAGAATATGTATATTGAAAGAAGAGTATATGAATAAATGAATATTCAGCATAAGAATATGGTGTTTCAATGTATAGTGTGTATTGGATAGCAAAAGAAATGGAGTAGAAGAGAGTGTGTCACAATTGGATATGGCAAGTGAATCTAAGTGTAATATATTCACACTAAAGGTTAAATCCGATGATATTTTTGCTGCAAATTTAAAAAAAAATGTAAACGCTGAATCTGTTGATATGCTGTTTAGAGCAGTTAAAGTTCAGAAGGGTAGTGATTTGACAAAACATCTGATGATATTGTTCAACTTTTAGAATACGGTATGAAAATTCATAAAACAATTGATGATAACAAGTCATCAAGAAATTGTGAAAGATAATCCAAACCTTGGTTCAATCATAATTGTTGCAGGTTGAGAAATTATTATTTCAACCTGAAAAATCTTCAAAAGAAAACTAAAACGAAAATTATTTTTGAAGAACTTGAATTAAAAAAATCCTCTGTACGGCAATGCATTATGGCTCAAGGCATAGACACACACAAGATTTTTGTTCTGTTGGGGACCGGGGGGGGGGGGGGGGATTCAATGAGTTAATGATAATTTATTGCATTTTCTTACTCTAGCCCCCGCTGCGTGCAGTCATGGTTCAGTGGCAAAGCAATGGCCTCGTAACTGTGAGGCCCCAGGATCAAAACCGTGTCGATGTGCATTAATCCTCATTACTGTTATTACTGTCATTTATGACTTAAGGGCGTAGGTCCCCTAGTTGATTAGCATAGTAACATACACATGCTTTAGCAGTCACGCAAAACAAACACTGGCAAATTATTATTCAATAAAATCTGAGAATGTATACTATTATCTAGATCTAATTAGGAATAAATCATGTCAAAATAATTCCATAAATTGGGGTAAAAAAAAAATATTCCAACTATATGAGCGACAGGGTATTTACTCTACAATATCTGTGCAAAAATGTTTTGTGCGTTAATAGATTATCGGAAAGCGTTTGATATTGTTGATAGGACGTCACTGTGGGACAAACTATTTTTGAATTAAATTAATGGATTTTTTTCTTCAAAGTGATCAGTGACATGTATTCATAGGCTAAATCGTGTTATCAAAAAAAGGTAAAAATCAAGTTTATTTGATTGTAAGTACATATGAGTACGCCAGGGGAAACTTATCACCCTTGCTCTTTGCTCAATTTATAAATGTTTTTTAAGGAATTCATATTTTATTATTAGCACACGATACGATG